CCCCCCCCCCCAACATTAGCGCCTACAACTACATCAACGACGGCGACGACGACTTCTTGATCTTGCCTTGATGAGTCCCATGAGCACGTCCGTGGCCAGCGTCCTCTCGTGGGCCTCGTCAAGCACGATGCACTTGTACTTGGCCAGGAAAGGGTCGTTCATCGCCTCGCGAAGGAGCATGCCGTCCGTCATGAAACTGTCAACAGCAACAACAAACGATCGCGCACGTCGAAAGAGAAGAGGGGGAAGGAGTGAGAGCCTTTGGCCAGAGGTGTGCTCATGACAACGTATGCCAAAGTCGTTCGACCACCGACCTCGCATCCCAACAAACCCGTGGGGGGGAAGCTGCGGTCTCGTGGGGGTTGGACAAGCACGTCGTCGGCCATGACGTGATTGACGGGCAGCCTTGTGCATGGGGTCGTGGACCAGAGCATAGACAGGGCGCCACAGACAACGACTCGGAACACACAACCTGCAACACTGAACATTCTTCTGTTTTTTTTTTTATTGGCATCTATCGTTATCTTATCCACGCAATGGCCTACGGTGATACCTTGAGAGGAGTACGACACCAGGTAACGCAAACAGGGTTCCTTCAAGGGGGTTTCCTTCAACTTGTGTAATCGCGAGAGAGACACAGAGTGCCAGCAATTCTTCCCCCTCGTCAAACGCTTGGAGTCCAACGTTGCAAAACTCAAGCAAGGACCAAACAATTCAGCAGTCTTACGGCCGGACTCGCAAGTACTGGCTTCCATGGACAACTAAACTTTCCCGCAACGAGCTGGTGTTCCGTCTCCCCTACTTGCACTTCCTTGGCTACCTACGCTACCTACCAAACTCGTGACAATTCCCGGGGTTTACTCCTAGCTTGAAGCCCGCCGCTCGCTTCGGTGCTGCTGTCTAGGGACTCACTTGAGAATGGTCCGAGGTCCGTTCTTGATCTCGAAACGAATCGAGTACCCCACAATATCCCCCAGCTGCACGTCCATCTCGTCCGACACACGGTTGGCGATGCTCATCGCCGCCACTCGCCGTGGCTGCGTACACGCCACGCTGACAAGCGGAGTGGAGGTGGGGGCGTTGATCAATGTCTCGTGTCGTGGCACAAACACATCTTGATGCTGGTCGAGCCGTAACCGGGAGTGGTGAGAACATCGGCACCGATGTTCTCACACGAAGAACTGTTGTGCAAGAAGAATGGTTGGAGGAATTCTCCGTCGTCAGTAGGCCGCGAGGTAGGGCAAGAAACCAAGGTCATTGAAAGATGCAGCGATTCGATTCGAGACCGTCACGACAAAGCGATGACGGCGGCGGAGGAGGAGTCATTTCAACAACTACGACATTGAAATAGCACAACAGCAACAACGGCGACGGCGAGGGCAGTTCCACTACGACGACAATTGCCGCGGAGACGTCCGACTCACCAGCCTTCCCCAATAGCGCCATAGCCCGCCTCCACGAGGAACTGCGGGATCTGGGTGGTCTTCCCCGAACCGGTCTCTCCCTCCACCACCACGGTCTGGTTGTTCTTAACCTAACAGGCGTGGGAGCATGGTGCAGTGTGTTAGTGGAAGGTACCAGCAGCGTAGAGCGAAACGCGATTGAAATCGTTGCTAGAAACGGCGGGCGAAGGTTGTACTTTAGGGTGACGGGAGACTGTTGAGCGGCTGCTGAAGACGGGGGGGCGATGCGCAGCACTGTCGCGATGAAAGGGTGATGCAGGCACGAGAAGCGGCGGGGGGATGCCCTGGGACGACTATTCTCAGCATTCCGTGGCGTGCTCCAGCGAATACCATCAAGATTGCATTTACTTCCGGATGAGGGATAACCAATTGTCTTTACTTCCGGATGAGGGACGACGAATTTTATGGGGGGAAACAAGGACGAGGATGCTGAGGTTGCCACCACTTTAACCCGTGGTACCCAAACTGGAAGCCACACAGCCGTACCACGTGGCGACGGGGCTTGCCAATTTCACAGTCACAGCACGCATCGAGCGAGCAAGGGCACCAACGCGAAGCGCAAGCGCTCCAATTAATAAACAGCACAGACGCTAGGGCTTCGAACTACATCAATCGACAACAAAACCGACGACAACGACAGAGTAAAACTGTAATGGTCTCAACGTAAAGCACCTTATCCATCAGGTCTTCCAAGAACTGGTGCACCGGCAACTTCTTTCTCTTCTCCAGGATATCGTAGTACTTGCGCGAGTACGGCCTTCAGCAGACGAATGGCGGGAAAAAGGGAACCCGCGGAGGAATAAATCAGGGGGGGGTTGCGTTTGAGAGTTCACGCGAATGGACGGGGAGTGGGTCATGAATGACTTCATTGACAGACGCGCCTGATTCTCGGTGAAAGCGTCTCTTCTTGGCGCCATCGCTTGCCGAGGAGAACTCTGTGACTCTTCACGAAATACCATGGTGCACATGGTTTCACCATGATGCCCCTAGCGGAAAATACCGCGGTGCCTCTTGACGCAAAAACGGAAGTACCTTGACACAACGGGCCGCAGCACACGTTCCTGACAGAGGAAGAGCGTGGGAGGCGGGGAGAAGACAAAAAACGCAGACACACAGGAACCGACCTCGCACAGCAGCGGGTGCTGTGCCTGTGCTGTGTGTGCCACGGAAACACTACGATCGAAATCTACGAACTGCAGTGCTGTTTCGGGGGTGCACAAACGCCATTGGTCCAAAAGTTTGTACGGTACACCCCCCAGACTTTGTACGGGTCATTCCATCATTCCATGATATGCCCTCTACACATTGCAGGTTTTACGAACCCTTCTACAGTAGGGCTGTCTCTCCCTCGTACACATGACACATGCTCCAAGCCCTTGTCAACACAACACAGCAACAACCCTCCTCTGCTTCATTGCCTTCTTTTGCCTTCGTTCTGAAACGCCAAAAGAAAAGGGTTCATCAGACGTGAGGCAGCAGCAGCAGCAGCAGCAGCAGCAGCATGAAAACGTTTCCTGTGCAACGAGGTACGACATCCGATACTTGGGTTGGTTCGGCAGCAATCACTCACGCTCCAGTGAAGGGGTTGATGCCCATATTTCGCTTCTTGGCAGCATCCTCCGCCGGGGTGCTGGTCGACCTGCAGCCAAAACAGTAGCAGCAGCAGCAGCAGCAGCAGCAGCAGCAGCAGTGGCCCAGCGCAGCAGTGCAGCAGGTAACAAGGGAAGGAGTTCGAACGGGCACGACGGGGGAAAGCGAGCGGGTCGGCGTGAGTTACCGTTACGTAATACATCGGCTCCTTCGATTTTTTTTTTGTCTTCACTTCAAATCAGCGCTCACAGTACTGGTACCGTTTACTCCTACCCGTGGTCACACAGAAGAGCTTCTCTCTACCCTCCCCTCCTGCGGTACTCTGCCTTCGATTTTTAGTGCGAGAAGAGTTCAGCACTCTCTTCCCTCTGTACACACGAACTAGCGCTATCCACTAGTCCAGGAGCGGAAGCGAGAGAAAAACTCACTTTGTAAGAAAAGCTCGCTTACGCCGGGTTTCGAACCCCTGACCTGACCTCTTAAAGGTGTCGAGGATACCAACTAGACCACCGGGCGACCGGCTCATAGAAACAGAGAGACCAATCGGCTCAAGCCTTGGTAAACATTAACGCTCGCCGCCTTGAGTCATTTGAGATGAGCTGTACGGGTTTACTAAGGGTTCGCCTTGGGAACCGTGCGCCTTAAGTCTTTTGAGTTATGTAGGCTTCAGGGTTACAGTACGGGTTGGGATGAAGAGAAGCTACGCTTTGCAGGCAAGGAGGAGCACTGTTCATTCATCGGGCGGCTAGTCAACGCTGTTGGTTGGAAGTTTTCAGATGCTCCAAGCTCGTTTCGGGCGTCAAGCTCCCAAACTGTGCGTGGCGAGAGGGATCAACTCAACGCTTGCGGGCGCTTATCACAACCGCCCTGGTGGCCAGCAGTTTCCAAACTCGGGTGCCCCAAGCCAGCGCAACTCGACAAGTCCACGTCGCCGTCGGTCACCAGGCACACGAAAATAATCTTACTGTTGTGTCTACAACCTCCCGTTGGGTGCGTGGGCGACGATCTACTGCTGTTAGAGGGACACAGGAGGCGACGACAAAGGCTTGCCCCTAGCCCCGCGCGTGCACACTATCGACCTGCTTGCAATAGAATAAGAGGGGGGCGCGCGTGCATAAAACGACGCGAACGAATCTGGTGTAATCCTTTGCAGCCTGCTTTCGACAATTGGTTGCTACAAATGTGAGTGTAGTATTTGATCTTGTCTTCTCCGGCACCGGGCTGCTCTCACTCTCGTCTCCCTTTGCTACACTCTACAACGAGTCTCTCATCGCGGCGTCCCGCTCGTGTAAGCCAACAACAACGTAACACCTTTTCCCGGCATCTAAATGTCAAATACACAGCATAAAGACCTGACCGTGGTTTTGCATGGAAGGCGTTATTGCGGGCAACCTTTCACAGCACACGCGGCAGGTGATGCTGCTGCTGTTGGGGATTGCGCGCAGCTGATGATGCGGTGTGTGCGGTGTGACCCGACGTGCCCTCCACAAGTCGAATAGATCTCCATCCACACCACGCTACCAATAGCTCCAACTGCAAGTCCCACGCATAGCTCTCACTCTAACCAAAGGTCGGCACTTACCCCAGCCCCGTGATGTCGACCTTACGCTTGCGATCCATCGCGCTCGCCGCTGCTGCTGCTGTTGTTAGCCCTGGGAAATCCACTCAACACAAACACCTTCCGTCACTCCCACGGTTTCCTCCCCCTCTGGATAGATTCGAATCAAAACCAAACTGCTGTCGATGGATCTTATATTCTCAGGTCCTTTATCTTCCCTTTGTCCCCTGTGCTAGGCGTTTCCCTCTCTAGCCACTGTTGGGTGTGTCCTTGGTTGCCCCAGCAGCAGGTAGCAGGCAGCGACATCCGGGGGGTATTCAGATAGCAGTGGCATGGGGTGTTCCAGACAATCCAGCTTGTGGGGCCCCACATGTCAGTCACCTCAGCAACACGGCAAGGCACACCCCAGGAGCAAAGCAGGCAGCTCTCTGCTCTGCCTTTTTGTCCTACGCATGATAGGCGTGCAATTTTCATGCCGCTCTCAGTGCCCTATTTCACCCGATCCATGCTCTTGTGCGGGATGGTGGCCGCGATGGCGGTAGTGCCGTCGCACCCGACCAGGACAGCTGAAGCTCTCCGACAACGCTCGGCACAGCAACATCGAGCATCATGTTTCATGAAACATCATGAGCCGTCCGGCACACAACGTCGACACCAACGCCCCAGTCCTCTCTCGGTTGCATTCGCCGTCATGTCACCACGTCCACCAGAGAGCGGCGGCGGCGCCCGAACCGGCGGAGTTGGCGCCGCCCCGTGTTCTGTTGGCGGTACTGCAACTTCATGGTCCTTGCAGCCAAGCCGCAGCTGCAATAGCAGCATCAGCAGGTTGCGCGGCCGCCGTTCCCGATCCGTTCCTACGGCGCTGGCTGCTTCTAAGAGCAAGAACAAGAGAGCGAAGAAAAAGAAAGCTAGCAGCGGCGTCCGTAGTAGCGGGGGTGGTGGATTCGGCAGTGCCTCCGCCGCAACAACAGCAGGAGCATCTAAGACCGGCGAATCACAGCAGCAGCTGCAACCGGAGCGACAACCAACGGCGCGCCTTGCTGCTGCTCCAGCAGCGACAGCGGCGCGGGGCGGGCAGCTCCCCGACGACGACTTCGCCACCTTCCCGCCCCTCTCCCCGGACACCCTCAAGTCCATCATGGGGGTCGACGTGTTCGACCTTCCCGCCGGCGGCATCCCGGCCAGCGAGCGGGGCCAGCAGGAAGCCCTGCCGCCGCAGGTCCTCGAGTGCATCCGGGGGCGCCACGGCCTCGAGGAGTTTGCGGGCGGCCGGCGGCTCCTCGACCCCGAGTACTTCGGCGCGGACGGCGAAGCCGGTGATGCGGCTCTGACGGGGTCCTCCTCTTCTTCAGAGTCGCCCGCGGCGGCGGCGGCGGCGGCGGTCGGCGGGGAGAAGAAAGAAGGCGGGGACGGCACCGCCGCTAAAAGCCGGCTGCTGTTCCCAGGCCTCCGCCTCCTGCACGCCGAGCCGCCCGTCATCGGCGTCAGCGACTTCTTCACCGACGAGGAGTGCGACGAGTACATCTCCAGGTCCGTTTCGCCGCCACCGCCGGCTGCCGTAACCTCGGGGGCGGGGGCGGGGGCGGGGGCGGGGGCTGCTGCAGCGGCGACGGGGAGCGGGCCGCACATGCAGCGGAGCGCCACGCTAGGTGCCGACGTGGACGCCGTGGCTCAGGTAAAGGACGAACCAACCTCTCCTGTGAGAGGCTTGGATCGGTATATGACGTGAGGTTTTCGTGCGCTGGATAATATTTTGCATAGTTTGAGGCATGAGGTGTGTACCCTCCATACGCAAAGGTAATCATGGATTACAGCTGCGTTGAGAAAATACTTAGCCACCTTTGGAATAGACCGTCTCTTGCCGCAGCCAGCCGGCTATCGCTCTTAGGCTGATGCAGGTGCCGTTCACATTGCACCGCTCAGTTGCTCATGTCCGGCTGAGGGCACCAAAATTGTGTCCTTCACGGTACTGTAGCATCAAGGTTCTTGTTGGCAGCATCGCCTACGCTACGTGGGCGGTATGTCACCTTGTGTCAGACTGCATGCACGGCGGTCCAACATGTTGCAGAAGGAAGTTGTAAGCGAATACACCCCGCACCCCCAGCCCTTCAGTCTGTCCCGGCTTTGTAGGGATGCGAGGTCAATGGTCTAGCGACTACGACATGCGTACCCCCCCCCCCCCCCCCCCCCCCCCCCCCCCCCCCCCCCCCCCCCCCCCCCCCCCCCCCCCCCCCCCCCCCCCCCCCCCCCCCCCCCCCCCCCCCCCCCCCCCCCCCCCCCCCTTCAATCTATCGCGTTCGCCAACAGCGAACGTCCACCACTTGGTTCCACCGGTTTTCGGCGGTACCGGAGCTGATGGCGAAGGCCTCCGCCCTGGTGGGAGTTCCATTCGAGGAAGGGCGATGGGAAGAGGCGCAGACGGTAAGGATGGCGGCTTGCTCTCATGAAATGTTTCGTTTTGACTCCAATGGCACGCGGTCACGATGCTGCCGCCGCGTGCTCGTTCGGAACGGGGCTCGATACCCCTCTTCAAGATGGAGTGAAACCGCCAGTGTGCATGATGTGGTCCTTGATGTATACGCCGAACCGGGTGGGCGGGTGGCACATCGGTTTTTTGGACGGTCAAATACGGGACGGTATACGGTGATACCCTTGGTTTCCCAACGGGTCGAATAATGTCTGACTTCGTGACTGGCGAATCACTCACAACTTGGGTTTTGCCGGGTGCATGAGGGCTGAAACTCGGCTTGAGACTCGTTCCAACAGACGAAAAATAGTTCTTTGAAAAATAACCGCTTCCGGTTTTTCGTGCAAACATACGGAGGCGTTTCTTTCCCGATCCGTGAAAATAGCGAGCAGATTTCTGGGGCTGCTACCTTCACCGATCGGGTATTTGACAGAAGGATCGGGCAGGCCCACCGCGGGCGGTGTAACAACACTGAGAACGCCGGCAAGACCTGCCAGACGCACTTGCAGGTCTATTGCGGGGAGAAACAAGTGGCAGACGCCGAGTTCGGTCCGTCGTTCGTCCATCCCGAGACATTGCATGTCCCCCTCGTCTTCGCCTGCTGTTGTTGATGCCCGGGATTTTTCACAATCGCACATGACAAACAGAAACCGTGGAATGAGTACACAGCAGTACCAAGGCCTCCAAAGCGCTGATTGCTTCGGTTCGGCTGTCTGTATGATACTCACTCCCGGCACTGTGCTGCTTCGTGGGTATTGGGGGCTCGGATGCTGCTCAAGAAGGTGTGTGAAAGATGTGTGCCACTTCGCCAAACTACCATTTGAAAGATGCGGTGAGATGGCCTGTGTTTGGTCGGAGACGGCTACACACATAGTCCAATGGCTGGGGTCGAAATCCTCCCGAGGAGTGGAAAAACTGCAATCCCCAGAGGATTGCCGAAAAAAGGCGATCCTCTGATTTGGACAGCCCCTTATACGCTGAGAGGACTTCATGACCCAAAGCTCTGGAGTATAATGGTCCAAAATGCTCTAGAGGGTTGCCGAAAAATGGCAGTGCTCGGTTTTGGACAGACCCTACTACTCTCAGAGGATTCTCTGACCCAAACCTCGGGAAGATAACTCGTCGGGAATACTCTAGAGGAACCTTGGCCCGCAACCTCGGAAGGGAAGGGAAAGGTAAAATCCTCTGGGAGAAGTAAAAATGTTTTCCCCGTGGATTATTGAGCCAGAGACTTCCCGAGAGGGTGTGGGGGTCAATGTGTCTCCAGGAGCATGTGGTGAGGCGTTTCTCCCTGTGGAGACTGCTCGGAGCAGTGCACGTGGTATTCTTCACGTCAACGTTTGTCGCACTCTAGCATTGCCCTCTGAGGGGGGTGTACATCCTACGCGGGTTGCATACATCTTTTGACCGCTTAGAAGCATCACACTAGGTAAGTGAACAGAAACACAATGGCCAAAGTATCGACGAAATAACAGCCTTTGATGTTGAAACAGTGTATCTTTCCTTCTCTTTCCCAAGTCACGAAACATCCTACGATATGCTACAGAATATACGTGCATCCCCATGACGGAAAACAAGACGATATGAATGAGAACCACCGACGAACACGGCTTGGCTGCCCATTCACCCACGTGGTCACGAGAACTACCAACAAAAACGTATTCTCTACACCAGGGCAAATCACTTTCTCGCTGCGGGTCACACCGCCCAACATTGTGTCGCCAAATATGAAAGAGTATCCCCCTCAACTATTGAAAACGAACAACCACAAATCTGCGTAGATGACAGGTGTCCAGGGTGCATCCCCGCACCGGAAAACTGACAAAAAGAGTGCGAACGACGAACAATAACAAGCGTATTTGCCAATGAAAGTAAAATCCCGCCCCTACAACAGGACAAAATGTTATTTCGCTGCCCGTCACACCGCCGTTCTTCCTGACATAGCCAAGCTGAAAGACTACCGCCGTCAACAGTTGTAAAAAAACGAACGGCGAATGTGTGCATGGGAGCAGTACACGACGTGCTGGAAATATCACTAGACACGTACGGGCACATTGCTATGCCCAAAGTCAAACAGGCGAGCAAAAGAATACGAACGTCCCCGAAGAGGACACGGCATCAAACGTCCAGACACTTCCCCAAGTCCTAACCAAATCTATGTCGTCCTCAAGCATGTCAAGACATGAAAACACGATCAGAACTCTCAAAATCTTGCCGTGTTGAGAGAAATTTATACAAGGACCGTGACGCATCATCAGTAATAATTACCTTACTCCTTAACCCTTGGTAGAAGGCTAAATGTTGTACACCCCCCTCGCCTAGATGTTCTTGGTAGCGAAACCGATACCCCTTGCATGCGCCGGCAGCTCCAAACAACTCAAACCATGCCCGAAACGCACCCTAGCAGCGTATCGCCCAAGGAATGCACCGGAAGAGCACAGGTCTTCACCGGTGTGCGTTCGTGCGACAGCCCCAACGTCCCCGGACAACATGCGGACTGTAGACCTTCCGACACGTTTCCACCACAATAGAAACACACTTGCAGGCCACCTCCTACGGTATATCTCGGGGGAACAGCGGGTGCAGCAGATATTCAGCTTGAAACCGGCTCCCTCATCGCACCAATATTACGCAACAGGGGGAACGAAAAAAGAAGCCACATACAGAATCTCGAAACCCAAGTTTCTAACATGTAACGAATCAACCAGCGAAGTTGCCTGTGGCAGCCTGCACCCCTGCTTTCAATCGTCAAGAACAACAACGCAGTGCCCCACTCAACCGCCCACCTCTAAGCACACCATCCCCGCGCCTCTGATGTAGTCTAGACCATCTTCCGAGGTTCGGCTCAATTGGTTGCCTACTCCATTCCTTTCCTGCACCCTTCGCATTCATCTCTCCTCGCCACCGCCACCGCCTGAATATGACACAAGCTCAACGACGTCCGGCGGGAGGGGGGCGAGATGTAGAGACAGAGACAGATATATTGCTAGGTCACCCCGGTACGTGCTCCGTGGGAGTGGGCACAAAACAAGGAAGAAGGACATGGAAACTCCCTTCCCATCGAAGACAGGGCGCTCTTATGCGGCAAAGTAGCGCTTCCAATCAGCTGTGACGCACCGTTTGTCCTCCACCCGAGCGAGCAGACAACGCCGAATACTTCTCGAAAGAGCTCCAATTCAACAGCTCCCCTTCACAAACAACACTTGAGCCAGACAGGTGCGACCACTTCCGGCGGCAAAAAAACAAGAAAGAGACACCCACCTTCTGTTTCGCCGGTGCCAGATTCGTCGTGGGCTTTCGTCGGTGGCAGGATCCACGCCCGTGCTTGCTCCCGGTTCCATCATGTCAAACGGCGACTCGTCGTCGTCGTCGTCGTCGTCGTGTCCTTGCCGCCGCCGCCGCCGCCGCCGCTGCTCTTGCTTTTGCCGCCACCCTTGCCGACCGTCGCGGGCAGGCTCGACCTCGCCGCCCTCGGGGCGGACAGGTACCGGCTGCTGATGCTGCCGCTGCTGTGGGTGGTCGCGTCCGAGGTTTCCTGATCGCGGTGACGGTTATGGTCACGGATGCGTTATGGAGTTGTTACTGGAAGTTGGCGTTTTTTTGCCGGGGGGGGAGTTGCTCTCTTGCTGCGCGCCGCAGCAAATACATTTACCATCGTGGTTGTGGCACGGATATGGTGTCGGCATCAACAGCGGGGTGTAGGGGGCAAGGATGCTCTTTTGCGAACCGCCCCAGCTGGTACCGAGCGATATGATTGGTCGCGGTAACGGTCTTGTGCATGAATGGTGCGTGACCCGTTCTCATGTCTCCTAAACAGCAAGTCGCACGACGTATCCTGTTTGCTTCCTGCCACGGCTTCGCTACTGCTGCTGCTTCGCTACTGTTGCTGCTGTCGCGACCATGTAGATATTGATGTAAATACATACCTGGTCTACGTACGCTGCGCAGGTTGTGAAAAAAGCTGCTACACGCATTCCGTCTATCTCTCGTCAGCAGTAGCAGTTAGCATTGGATCAATGTTCGTATGCACTTACCTGCTGTTGGTGGCGCTGTGCGCGTGAAGCACGATATCCCTCGCCGACATGAATATATACTAGTCAACCAATTGCATCGACGGAAAAAAGCAACCAGAAGCAAGGCAACCAATCGTCTTGCGGAGGCAGGCCTCTTGAGCACAAGCTACCGGAAGAGGAGCGCTGCAAGCTTTCTTGCACAACGGGAGAAACAAGAAAAAACACTTCCAAAACGCAAACGCCTACTTGCATTTCATTTTTGTTGGTTTGGCTCGCATGAATTCAGGACTGCGCTGGTCTTTTATTTTGGCCAGATAGACGCGTTGTGCATGCTATAAGCTATGATGTTGGGCACGTGGACCCTTCCTCGTCACATGATCACCCGACAAGCTTAGTTGTGTCCCAAACAACGCCGTTCAAACAAGAGGAACAAACCACACACCAACTGCCACACACCCTCCTGCGGCTGGAATGAAGCAAGCTGCCACAGGCAACGGCACCCACGAAATCACCAAAGCACGCCTTGCACACGACCTTCTTCGGCCCATTTGACCGCTCTACGCTACTGTTCTTCACATTGGGGCACTTTCCTCGAAGAAGCTGCGGGATCGTAAGGCTGAGATGACCCTCTCTTTGTCTCGTGCCCGCCGCGATCGCTCTTTCCGCCAGCTTCAGCATTGTTGCTTGTGAAAGCCGAGCAGAATGGCGCACGTTCTGCTCGTTTCATGTTGTGTGTGGTGTATGGACGTCGATGTAGAGTGGCAGCGGTCTGCGGAGGCTGGTGCTCGTCGCTCATCACGCTCGTGTGCGTGGCGATGTGTGCAAACAATGCAACGGCCGCACCAAAACACCAACGGCCGAAGGGGGCTCGTGTCTGAATCTGGACACCCTCTTCCTATTGCGGAGCCCCGACTTCCGCGAGACCCCCGAGAGGATATAAAGCGTTGTCTCCGCGGGGAATTGTTGGACATTTTCCCTCGAGAGCAACTCTTTCTTATGTATTACTCAGGGGGATGCCGGATCTTCTCCCCCTGAGGAAACGTCCCCGTTTGTTTCCTCGGAGGACACGAATTGTCTACCCTCCGAGGAATACCTCAGGCGTGTGTCCTCGAGAGCAACGGTCTATTTTGTTGCTTTAGACGATGCCGAATCAGTCCCCTCGGAGGAAAAGTTCCTTCAGTATCCTCGGAGGGAACCCTTTGTCTATTCTCCGAGGTTTATTGTGTTTCTCCCCTCGGAGTATATTGTGCACAAATCCTCGAGAGGGTTCAAAATTTTCCCTCTAGAGGATGTCGAATCCTCGGAGGAAAAAAATGCCCGGTATCCTCGGCGGGAACACTGTGTCTATCCTCCGAGTTTTTTCTGTTTCTTCCCTCAGAGTATATTGTGCACAAAACCTCTAGAGGGTTGGTTCACTATGCTCTGGAGGATTTTGAACCCTCTAGAGGGTTATTTTTCCTCAGAGGAATAGGGGTGGGTAGCTGTTTGTTTACGTGTGTACACAAGTCCACGGCACCACGCAGCAGTAGAGCAACAGGGCCTCCGACACGCTAATTCTTTCGGATTGGTCATATATATTATGCTAGCCCTCAGCGCCGCTGCCGCCCTATGATTGTTGAGCTCGTCTAACTTTCGACAGGTGGTGGTCAAAGAAGGTGTGAAAAATGAGCCGGCAAAGTGAAGAAAATCGCAAGCAACACCCAGGTTGCGACACTCTGCCCTCCGCCTGTTGCTGAAAGCAGCAGGCCGGGTGGACGGGGTCTCAATAATGTGTGCTGTCCATTGTGCCGGGTGCTGCTCTTTGTTTTTTTACCGCTGCTCTATGGTGAGACGGTGAGTAAGACCAAGTCAACCTGTTGTATGTCGAGCAAGCGCGTGTGTCAGCGGAGGCAGAACGTAGTTTTGCGATGACATGACGATTGTTGATAAGAACAAGCGGAAACAAGGGCTGGTTTTCTTTTGACCTTTCCGTGTTGTCTTCAGGTTCTTTCGGCGAAATTTGTGGTCCGTTTGGAATGGGGGTCCGTTCAGGTCGGCAGGGATATGATGTTAAGTGGGTCACCAGGTCAGGGTCTGTCCGTCACCTATCTATGCTGCCGAAAGCAAACCTCGCGGATTCGCGCGACTTCTGATGCACGGGTTCAGCCGGGTCGAACGGACCTGGCCCGTCTTGACCTGACGCGGTTTTAACCCGTACAGTACGTTCCGTGGAACGCCCTCGGCAACAACAACTCGCCTCCGTTAAGGTGCGGTATCGCCCGGGGGAGAAGTTCACTTGGCACTTGGACGCGCTGCCACCGGCCCCAGACCTGGCCTCCAAGGGGGGGCAGAGGATCGCCACCCTGCTGGTGTACCTCACGGAGATGCCCGAGGGGGACGGGGGGGCGACGGCGTTTCGAGACCTGGGACCCCTTCGTGTTCGCCCGCGTAAGGTGGGTCGGCGTGGTGGTGGTGGTGTGGGTGGTGGCATCGATCTACGGTTTCTCGGTTTGTGGTACCAGGTGATATGACGGAGCCCCTCGGTGCTCCGCATGGTGTGCTCACTCTCGTCTTTCGAACCCTGACGGAGGTGGGAGCGCACCCGTATCCTCAACTTTTGTGCAGGGACCGATTCCCTTGTATTGGACCCGCCACCTTGCCAAGAGCGTACCGTGGCATAGCTTTGTATGTCCGACGCATCCCATCTGCAGGGTGTGCTACGTAGTGCAAATTCTGAAGCCAGCGAGCCAGGCGACCAATCAGTGGGACCGCTTCAAGTATCACGCCTGTGGGGTGAAGGACCTGGTTTATGTCAATATTCAGCAACACCCTCATTGGTCGAACTATCTCCTTAAGAGTTGCTCTGTCGCCCGACGTCGATGTTTTTGACCAAGCCATCACTCCCTCCGAATAGTGCTCTCCTTTGCGTATCCGTGTACGTCGACCTCACCGACCCAAAACCGTCCTCACATGGCTGGCTTCCTGCTCCGCCACTTCAGGGGTCCGCTCTGCTGTTCTTCCCGTCTTTGGGGGGTGCCCCGGACTGCCCTTTCGACATCCGAACGCTACACGCTGGGGAGGTAAGCGGTAACTTGAGAAGAATGGCGCGTGCGATAGTGTGTGTAACCCCGCTTACACTTTTACGTTTAGGGTGGGTGTGCGACACCGTGCTGTACAATACATGCGGTAGTCGCGTCCAGACCAGGAGGTGCATCGCGGTTGCTAAAGCAGCCAATGAAAGTGCAGTGGACCCCGCTGCACTCCCGTTTTCGAGTCGGTAGGAGGCGCGGATTTTCACGGAGGAGTCACGAATCTTCAAAAAGTAGAATGTGCAATTGAACACGCAGCGCGTGAAGCTCTGGTCCAAAAACGGTGAGGGGTAAGCTATGGGCCTCGCTCGTGCCATGAATGACACCATGTTTTCGAATGTGCTCGGCAGGTGGTAAGACCGGGAGCGGAGCAGGACAAGTGGATCGCTCAGCTGTGGCTCCGAGAGCGCCGTTACACCCCAACGGTCCCCAAGCAAAACAGACACGAACACGCTGCTTCGGCGGTGGCAGAGTTCGACAAGATTTGGCAGGGCTAGTGTAACCTGCTTGGTGGCCCTGGCAGTACTAGTATGTTGCTGCTTGTACCGTGCTTGCGTGGTTGAATCGATCGCCCGTTGGCGAAGGATTTCGGCCGTTTCGGGAAGAGTTGTATTCGTACGTCGAGAGGGGTGTGTATCGAGGGGAACTTACGCGCCTATTTCGAATGACGAAGCTCATTCGGTGGTCGCGAAGTGCTACAAGGCTTGGTGGCGTTACGCTGTTTGCATCCCTGTCAAGAACTAGTCGATCGCGGTTGGCCCGTGCCGGAGTCAATCGTTCGGGTATCAACGGATTTGGCGTTACCTTTTTATTCACGTTCATTTTCAAATGGTGTTTGCTTCTGAAAAGAGTTGTATGCATGCGTCCACAGGAGTGTGTCGAAGGGGAACGGACGCGCCTACTCGACGACGCTCATTCAGTTGGTCTCGTTGTACAACTTGCTCGAGCAGCAGGGAAGCATTGCAGTGGGCAGCCTTTTCGACGTGTTTATGGCAAACTACAACTCAGTACGATCGAAGGCTGAATGGCCCGCGGGGTGAACCAGTAAGTCTAGACTTGGCGGACAGGACCATAGTTTCGGAGCTCGTTATAGATTTGTTTCGGAATACGGAGGCGCATGAGAATTTTTTTTAACGGAATGTATCTAATAGACTTATCGCGCACGGCTTATTAGTCTAGTGGTTCCCAAAAGAAAGGTGGAGGTCGCCTTCGGGGATTTGTCATCTTTTCTTTGCGTGCAGGAATAGAACTTCCTTTGGATGCTTTGAGCCCCCTCGAGGGCAACAGGCATCTATCTCGTGTATGCATATTCAAACCTATATCTTGCACGCATATGCAAACACCAATTCAGTTGATCTACGGGGTGGGGGCGGGTGTAGGCACACACAGAAGGCCCACCTGTTCTCACGGTGACATAATTCGAACGGCACAGGTCGTTGTCTTCCATTCCTCATGTCCTGTTGTAGGCAGAGAGAGAGACTATGTATATAACGATGAAATCCCACCGGGTCCCGCTTGTCGACCATCAGGAACAATCTCTAACCTGGCAGAGGAAGCACACGCACAGGCTGGCCTAAAACAACGACGCCTGCCTGCGGGTGTAGAGCAACAACTGACACAGGTTTGATATCGCAGGTTTTCCGAAATTTCGTATTTTTGCCGCCGACGAGACCGAGTCACCGAGGGAGGGGACCCGCAGAAAGCTACGCTAACCATGATTGCGCACAATTTTCGTTCTGTCGCGTTTGATTCCTGAGGTAAAGGATATTCGAGGTGCCACCGGTCTTGCTGCGGTCGTGTGTGATGCTTCAATGCGTACGCCCCACATGCAAGGAGTGCTGCTCCCACCACCACCACCGCCAATGGCTACGACGGATGTTGGTATCAAACGTTGGGGTGGGGGCGTACTCTCATGTTTTGCATGCCCTAGCGGGTAGACCATTGACCACGCGTCCTCGAGAGGACGGGGCATTGTTGTTTGCGGCCTACGCCACTTATTTATCGGGTGAGACTGTTTTGGTGATGTATTAACTTCACGGGAGGTAGACGACCATCCTTCACACGGACGAAAGAGGGAGTGCTCAAAGAGCGGCTCCCACAGCAAGAAGGGGCCCCGTGAATCATCGCGGTGCCCCCTATCAAACGGTTATCTTACCAGTCTGCGTGACACAGAATCATCCAGCACATGTATCCAACCGCAATGTTCGCAGACCCACGAACACCCTCCCTGGTTCTTCACGAAAGTGACTAACCATCAATTGGGCAAGAACGCCCCAGCTGTCCTCCGCTCTTTGCATCAGTGGCTTCCTAGGTTCGGACGAGGGCATGTGTGGAGCTAAAGGCAGTGTATGTGTTGCTATTTTGTTTTGAGTCACCTAGCTGCTGACACGATGACTGTTGCATCTTGGGGAGTGTACGATTATCAAATTGGGAGATGCAGCATTCCACGATATCCTGCTTCGGCTGGGCTTGAAA